AGATTAGATTGACTCACCAAAATTAATTAACTCCTAATAATTTAACTAAAACTTACTAATTTCTATGCATTACAACAATAATTAAGCTAAATTATTATCAAAATAAAGTTTAAATAACTTTATATCATAGAGTTATCAGGAACATACCTCTTGGCAAACATACATATACATACATATACATACATATAGATATATACATATACATGAATTCTCTAGCCTTGGCATCCTCATTTAGGCATACCTTATCACACATATATAGTTTTCTAGCCTAGGTTCTTCTATCTAGGCATGCATTTTTTATCCTACTACCATGCCAGTGCACCTATTGTACATTGTGCGTTACGTGCATTTAACTTAAATCCCACTCACCTTGACAATCGGAGGCATGCCCACAATCAAGCTCAAGTTTTAGCCTCTAACCATCTTCCAACTCATTAATGCATCAATAGCCTCCATTCTCCTCTAGACACATCAAAACATCAAAACCATAATTATTTCTTAGCTTTCGAAAATATCTTAACTTTTTCAAAATACCCAAATTCAATATATTATCTCAATCTTCTAACAAATGAGCTAAATCCTTACCTTAGAAGATTGGTTGCCCAAAACTAGGCTCTAAATCTTCAATAAACTTAAGAGGAGAGAGTTTGGCCAAATTTGAAAATATTTAGAGCCGAGGTTACTAACCGATTAAATTGAAAATCAATCGATAAAAATACATAATCTTACCTCTGGTGGTAAGCTTGGATCTAGCTCAAATAGGCTCTAAATGTCGTTTGGGGGCTTAAAGTTTGAGTTTTCTAGGGAGAGAAAGAGTTGAGAGGGAATGGGGTAGAAATGGTCTCAAAACCCTTATTTATTTTTTCCTTTTCTATTTGATGTATTGATACATCTTACTTAATTTCAAATAAATGTATCAATACATTTCAAGCAGAATAGTCATGGGTGCTCTCTATTTCAAATGTATCGATACATATTCATCTTTTGCCAAATCTATCAATACATCCTCAAATGTATCCATAGAATTCCTTCAGAACACCTCAGATTGTTCTTCTTGCCAAGAATGTATCAATACATGAGGGGATGTGTCGAAACATTTTCCTTTGTAGGCAGTTGTAAGTCTTTCGAAACTTTCAAAAATCCAACTTAACACCTGAAAATCCATTCCTTGATAATGGTACCTCAAATAACTTATATAATTCAAAATCCTCATATATACACATATATATATATCTTCAAACGTACATCAAATTAAATCAAATCTTTAATCTATAGGATTAATTCATCATTTTCATCCATATTTACCTTAATGGCATACTTAGATGTCAAAGTGGCAAACATCTACACAATTTCATTAAGGATCTTAATTTACACCCACATTCATAGTCATTTATCTCTAGACATAATCATATTCATCAAAACTTAAATAACTCTTCAAGTCACTTAGCCAATTTCATATATAAGCCATATAAAAAATCAAGAGCGTTATAGTGAAAAAACAAATATTTCAACTATAGGATTTCAGACTGTCTTATACTCTTTTCAGTTACTAGCTACATCATAAATGTTTTGGATTTAATTGGTTTTTGATTTTGATATAAAGAGCAAGGTACATAATACTTGAACCTATGAGTGTTCATAATTAATCTAAAAATTGCATGAAAACACAAACATTGATCTTGAGTATATCGGCTATTTCTCTTATTACATGAATTTTTATTTTTCCTTTGCATTATACTTTTATTTCTCAATTATTTTCATATTTGAGCACAAGATCGAATTGTAGCATTTACGTCAAATACAAATGTAATGTTATGAGCCATCAATCTGAAATATATTGATTCAAATGTGAGAGCCGTCACTTTATTGTGAATTGCTGAGGCTATTTATACAAACAAGACTTGGCTCTCAGGTAAGTGTTGTGTGGTAATGATACACTTTATCTAGCATTTGTGTATTTCACATTTTGATTAGTGTAGAAACGTGATTCCATGACCACAAAAATTAAAACATTTCAAACTTCCTGATGTTTATGACACCAGAAAAATTTGGTTACGTAAGTTGTAGATTTGGGACCAATATGTTTATCATTGCATAACATATTGCAATACATGTAATTACAAGATGGTAGGTTTCGGAGTAGGACATTACGGGTGAAGCACAACATTGTCAAAGCTAGACCAGCTTTTAGTGCCTACCTACTGTGTTTTTTGATTCAGATATTAATTAGTATGTTATCTCCTAACATATTCCACAAAATATTGCTTTATACGTTGTAAGTAATTTTGGTCACTTGAGGCCTTTTTTTCCGATTAATATGCACTTATTCTTTTCTTTTTTTGATAAGATATAACAAGTTATAATATGCACATATTTTTATTTGGCATTAAATACGAAAAAGTCTCTAAAAAATTGAAGAAAATTCAAATAAGCTCTTATTTTTTTTATTGTATTTGATCAAGCCTTTATACTTTTATTTTCAGACAAATAAACTCTTCTACTCTTTATTTTGAGTCAAATAAACCCTTATTACTAATGATTAACTTAATCAAAATATTATTTGTTATTCTATGTAACGTGAGGCTGATGTGACATGTTAAAATATTATAATTAATTATAATGTGATATGTTGATATATTATAATTGATGATAATATGACATGTTAATTTGGCATGATAACATAATCATATGACATTTTTCACCTTCTACATCAATGTCATGTTAGTACCATGTGGATATAATATGACAAGTGATATTTTTACTAATGGTAATTAGTCAATCATTAGTCATAAGAGTTTACTTGATTCAAAATAAAAATATGGAGGTTTGATTAAACGTAATAAAAAAATAAAGACTTATTTGAATATTCTTGAATAATTTGGTAACTTATTTGAGCATTATGCCTTCTTATTTTTAATAGTTATAGAATCTTGAATATCGATTTATTTTTACACGATGAAAATGAGCTCTGAAGAGAGGAAAAGGAAAAAAAAATGAGAAAGAAAGGAGAAAAAAAATTAAAACCAAACATGTATGTATATATTAATCCAAATATATATATGTGTGTGTGTATGTATGTGCGCATGTGACAATTTGTGAAAGTTGAGCTAGCAGAAGATTTAGATTGGTACAATTAGAAATTGATGAGATTATTGGCTATATTGGATTTTTATTCAAACTAAATAAGGATATATACAAATTTATCAGGGTTTAGGGTATGTAATGGAGAGTTAATCCTCCCATTCCATAGACCTAATCATTCCATCTAAATATGTCAAATAAAAAATTTTCATTTGGAGTTCTAACTGTTAAAGCATTTCTTTAAAGAATTTTTTTTTTCGAAATTACAACTATTAGAGCACCATGAAGATTCCAAGATCATTCAAATCAAAGGTGATTTCAGTGTATTTGGATATGGAAGTCTCAAGTACTATAAAGTTACGAAAGTCAATAATAGCAAAAATTGTCTTCCTTCCAATATGCTAATTGGGTAAGATTCAATAATTGATTGGATTATAGTTAATCAGGAGAAGTATTATCACTGAATCCATCAAATATTTAAGTTACTCACACTTTTCTTGGGTCAATAGGAAAAAGACAACTCATCACCTTCATTGATGGGAAGTGTCCCTGTTGGCCACTATCTTTCACGATCTCTCGAGTGTTCATTTTCACTACAGAAATGGGGAAGTTCCAGACGAAGGTGAAGTAAAAGGCCTGGAATTGGACTGATCATAAATTTGTCAACTGATTTTTTTCCACCTTGTCAGCAAAAGGACGGAACAACCACTGTGGGAAAGCAAGGGACATCTTTGGACAGAATTCATTTCACTTAACTCCGGAAATTTAAAACAAAAATTAAGATCTTAGTCCCACCTAGTTGATATAGATATAGCATTACCAATTTTTCGAGTCAAGCTCCAGCTCTTGGTACGTCGTTTGCTCCACCAGCCAGAATGTCTGTGACCCTACTAATCTCTTGTATGGGAAATTTGCCCTGGCAACCAGGGCACCGCCCTGGATTTTGGTTCTGAATGCACATGCATTGATGGTTCAGCCACTACTTTACTTTGCATGTCACGCAAATGAGTGGAACTCGTGTACCTGGACGATCTATTTACTGACCATGATTCGAATATTCATTGTTTTCGGGGCGAGAATTGGTCAAAATGTCTTTGACCGGATCAATCTAATTTTAACGCCCTTTGATGTAGATTCTTGTCGGTTGAGCCTATCAGATTCCAGCTCACAAATTAAATGGCTCTGATCAGTGAATAATTACAAAATCAGAATTGTATTATGCACTTACAAACTGGTGAGTATATAATGTCATCGTGTACTTCTAACTTAGTAAAGAGTTGGTTTCGGATGAGACATGTTAATGCCAGAAATTGGTTTGATGAAATTTTATCGGTAACTTGATAGATGAGATAAGTAGGAGTTTATTTTGACTTTTAAATGTCCGACAATCAAGTCAAATATGAGTGAAAGATGAGTAATGAAGTTAGAATACTGTACAATATACCATTTAGCCTATGATTTTTCCAAAAACAAGAAGCAAATTTGTGCATGCTAAGCATGATTAAATTTGACCCTAGTTTAGCACGGCTAGTCTCTTAATCAATAAAATGGTACATACTTTGACATTTGAATTGCTCCATCTTTGATTAAATTACTAATCACATATAAATGATATCTTGGTTCAATGGAAAAAACCGTATCAGTGTGATTGGTTTACTATTGAACTTTCTGCCAGGATCTTTCAAACAAAAAATGTTATTATTATTACTGTTTTTGTCAAGAAAATGTTCCTAATTAATTATGGAAACTTATGATGCAGGAGTTACTTTCTAGAAGACAAGAATGAGAAAATAAAACAGGTCTTTCCCAGATGATGATTGGTCTTTTCGCCATTGCAAGAAGGAAATTAAATAGTAGAGAACAATTTTCCGTTTCTTGCGGGTGCAATTGGTCTGGACAGCTTCATGAGTATTGTTATAGCACAGTGTTCATCTATCCTGTGCCTATATAATCTTCATGATTACATAACATTCTCCCACAGTCTCATTGCACTTTCTGAGCTAAATCATCCTGCTACTTTCTTTGCAATCTCCATTTCCCTCTTGGCTTTCATTTCCAATTCCTCAGGTAATTTGCTTCCATTCTCTTAAGCTCTTTTTGTTTGTTTTTTTTTAATTTTTGTTGTTTGGTATGGTGTCGCCTGAATTTCTGATATATGGCCTTAAGCCTATATGAACTATAATTGGTTTAGAAGAGTTTCTGTTTTGGGGTAATACATTTGGACAACTATATATTATTCAAACAACACAAGAAGTTCACTAACTTCTATCAATGTATAAACTAGGATATATCTAAATAATATATATATTAGGATCTTGCAGCTAGTTTGATCGAGCTTTGACCAATGGTATGTGATTCATTTCCTTTTTGAAATCAGTTTGTGGAGCTAATGGAGTCTTTTGAAGGCATGATTGATGATGCAAAGGTGGCAAGGGATGGAAAGGACGCCATCATTGTATCAGCTTCCAGGAAAGCCCCAAGTATTGACCAGCCAGGAGATGAAAGTGCTGGAGTTAGCATAGAAGAAGGGACACATAACTCTGAAGCCAAATTGGAACCGCCATGTGGGAAAACAACATGCAAAACAAAGTCATCAAGTATCCGATCCTTGGTTAATAAAGAGAGTAGTGCTGTGAGCCTTGATGACATAGATTCTGTTCGTATGGGGACTTCCAGCAATGGTATTGGCTCATCTATCTTGCGTCCTGATGTCCCCTTACCTTCAGATGGCTCAATTCTACAAATTAATAGCGGTAAAAGTAGAACAATTAGCGCATTTTATAACTTTTCAAATGATAATATCTTGAGCAGTACAGCCAATGTTTTCAAGAAGAAAACAGCAACCATCTGTCTGCTTCCTTACATTTTGCTTCTTATATCTTCATGGTTTTAGCTGTTTATGTATTACTCTTACCTTTTAAATTCATGTTAACTTGTCACAATGGAAATATAAACAAAATTAACACTCACAACTTAGTGGAGCTGGTGATTTCTGTCGAGGCAAGTTAGTAATAATCCTCTCTCATACAGGAAATTATCCAACAAGTCAGTCTCAGCCAGCTCATGAAGATACAGAATCATGCACCTGGAGGAACATACAATATGAACCCACATTCCCAATATGTCTAAAGGTAACAGAATGGTCCATATACCATATTTGTGGCATCCAGTATGGTATTGTTGTGTTATTGTTGTAGTCCCGATCTCCTAAAGTTACAATGAAAGTGGATAATCAATTTTCAGTTTTGTGCAGTTCGAAGATGTTAAATATAAGGTACCAGTTAAAGGCGAAAAAATCTCAGATGCAGAGAAGCATATACTCCATGGAATAAGTGGCTTGGTATATCCAGGAGAGGTTCTTGCTCTGATGGCACCATCAGGAGGGGGGAAAACAACTCTTCTTCATGTACTTAGTGGAAGAGTAAAATTTGACAGTGGTACCATCACTTACAACGATCGACCATATTCCAAGTCACTGAAGTGGAGGTGCATCTTGATACAGGCTTGCATATGTTGCTGCATGTATATGATGTTGAATTCTAATTTAATGATTCATTTGATATCGTTGTTCATGCAACAGGATTGGTTTTGTACTGCAAGATGATATTACCTTTCCTCATCTTACAGTCAAGGAAACTCTAACATATGCTGCTCTGCTCCGGCTCCCCAATACCTTCACTATGCAGCAGAAAAAGGAAAGGGCTATGAGTGTTATTAGCGAGCTAGGCCTTGAAAGGTGCTTTCTGCTTTAATTTTTTATTTTATTCAGTTTTTTAACTAAAACTTAAATCTTTTGCACTATTAAAATGACATAATTGGGGGTTCTCAAATCAATTTCAGCTACATATATATGATCGAGCTGAATGGAATTGGCCAATATAGTAGCATTTACTTCTAGAATTTTTGGTTTGCAAGTTTCATATGGATACTAAGACATAAGGATAATACCAGTTGCTTCATTAGACGGGTCACAAACAGTAGGTTTATTTATTTATTGCTGATACGTTTCTGCAATATTGCTACTTGGTTGTAAGTCAAAACATCAATTGCATGTTTCAGGTGCCAAAATACAGTGATTGGTGGCACATTTTTTAGAGGAATTTCTGGCGGTGAGAGAAAAAGGGTCTGCATTGCCAGTGAAATCCTCCTTAACCCATCACTTCTATTCTTAGATGAACCAACATCAGGTCTGGATTCAACAACTGCGCTACGAATTGTTCAGATGCTACATAACATTGCACAGGTACTTAAAATGCTTGGTTTTATTGCTGTCAAGATTCGTAAATACTGTAATTAACTGCTAATTTTCTAAGCGCAAAAAAAAAAAAAAAAGAAGACATAATGCTTATTTGCTTGTGCTTTATAGTCTGGCACGACAGTAGTGACAACAATACATCAGCCATCTAGTAGACTATTTAGTAAGTTTGACAAGCTGATTCTCTTGGGCAAAGGCAGCTCCTTGTACTTTGGAAAAGCCTCAGAAGCAATGGAATATTTCTCCTCAATTGGTTGTTTTCCACTCATAGCCATGAATCCAGCAGAGTTTCTTATTGATTTGGCCAATGGAAACATAAAAGACAAATCGGTTCCATCAGATTTCGAGGACAGGTTTCTGCCTAGAAAGAGAAGTCTTGATATGAAACATGGAGGGCCTTCCCAAGTTGATGTCCATGAGGTCGAAACCGAAAGCCCAAATAAGTTTCATTTTTATGTATTCAAACCCTCTCACTTAACAATCTTGGATTTTCATCACTGCAGTATCTGGTGGAGGCTTATGCAGAGAGGGTAGAAAAGTTGGAGAAGACAAAGCTCCTACAACCTGTCCTAGTGCTGAGTCTGAGATGCAGACAAGGTTGAATTCAAGGGAATGGGAGCAACTTGGTGGACCAGTTCTCAGTTCTCTTTAAAAGGGGCTTTAAGGAGAGACGCCATGAATACTTCAGCTGCATGCGCGTAACCCAAGTTTATCTACTGCTATAATCATGGGTTACTTTGGTGGCGTTCTGAGCTTCATCTCCTAAGGGACTTGAGGATCAGGCAACATCTGTACATGCTTACATTGGTTTGGCCACTCAGCTTTTGTGAAAATCTTTTCTTATATTTTTGTAAATATTCAGTCTGTTATTATATTATTCCAACGCATGCAGGCAGGGCTGTTATTCTTCATTTCGGTGTTTTGGGCTTTCTTTCCTATGTTTACTTCCATTTTCACATTCCCTCAAGAGAGAGTGATGCTAGCTTTGGAAAGATCTGTAGGCATGTACAGACTCAGTGCCTTTTTTTTGGCCAGAATGACAACTGATCTTCCTTTGGATCTCATATTGCCTGCAGCGTTCCTTGTGATTGTCTATCTTATGGCAGGCTTGAAGCCAACAATTACAGCATTTTCTCTTACAATGCTTACAGTTTTCGTAAGTGTAGTTGCATCGCAGGTAAGCTATACTGAATCAAACGTCAATCACTTCTGACAGAATTTTGAAATTATAGACTACGATAACTTGTTTTCATCTAAAATTGCAGGGTCTTGGCCTTACTATAGGAGCAGCATTAATGGATGTGAAGAAAGCAGCAACATTGGCTTCTGTTATTATAATGGCCTCCATGTTATCCGGAGGATTCTTTATCCAGGTGTGATTCCTGTACCCCGGTTCATATTATTTCTTGAGACAAATGTGAGGCACAAATAACGAAAGGGTATAAATAGTACATGCATAACGCTTATTAGATTCTGATTTTGAAAATTGGTTGCAGAAAGTCCCAGCATTTATGTCGTGGGTAAGATACATCTCCTTTACATACCACACATACAGGCTGTTGCTCAAGATTCACTACGGTTGTGCTGGTTCGGATACTGGATCAGGTTCATGTATCTCTCCCTTCAAAGGATTACGACTTGATTGGGACGCCAAGGAAGTTGGTACTATGATAGCTATAATAGTAGGATATCGGCTACTAGCATATGCATTCTTAAGGAGAATGAAATTAATGACGATAACTTAGTACATGTCCTTCAACACTGTTGATTTATAGACGTCAGCTTGCTGGTAGCCAATAAGCAGGAAGAAGTTACTCCCTCTGTTAAAATCCTCAATAAGTTGAAATTGGCCAGCGTTTTAAAAGCATCGGTTACTTTAAAAGCTGCCCTCTTCCCCCACCCTAAAATAGGGAGATTCTTAAGGAAAATAAATGTTCTGTTTACAACCAATTTATAATATATAACGGCGGCTGAATTCGTGTTTGGCTTGGAGGGAATGCATTGCAACAGCCATTGATATCCTGTTAAGATATGTAGTTGATGGTGATACGTAGTTCGACTATGTTCAAAAGATGAATTAAAAATGAAAACACATTGAAACTTAATCAAATCCATAGAAAAACATAAAGATAAAGACTGCACATACTATTTTTCATTAAGTGTTTGTTTAGTTTGATTTTTTTTTCAACTTATCTATCTCTTAAAAACAAAAATTAAACTAAACATAAATTTTGAAAAACTTTTCAAAAAAAAAACTTTTTTTAAAAAATAAAATTTTTTAAAAAAGAGCTTCAAAAAAAGCTCATGTGAGAGGCTTTCTCTTCTCTTCTTTTAAAAATACAGAAGAATTTTTATTTTTGTTTTAAAAATATCCTGTTAAAGATAATCATAATATTTTCTACGATAATTTTAACCAAAAGTATAACTTATAATAAAAACTTATAAAAAAAAACATACCAAACTACTTTAGCTTAATTTGAAAAGTTATTATTTTTCATAAAAGCTTTATAATAGCTTTTAAGCTTGAAAAAAATCAAATCAAGCTAAACAAGCTTTAAGTCTTTATATCACATAGTTACAAAAAGGAGAGAACAATTAAAAAGGACACATGCATAACTAAAAAATAAAACCACCAATAACAAGTTTGGCAGTAGCATGATATTAGTGGTTGACATCCTACTACTCACAACCCAACATGGTAAAACCACATTGCTAAACTAATTTAATGTTGAAGAGAAAAAGAACAGAAAAATAAGCAAAGCATAAACTACTATTTTAAACAAGTCACATGCTTTTCCTCGTAACTTCATTTTCCACCCATTCAAAGCATTCTCATGCCACCCTTTATTGATGTCGAGATATATTTTAGTTTCAACACAACTCTTAGAATTTACTCACATAATCCAAGTTTGCTTATAAAAAATATAAACCTTATCGTTGTTCAAGCTTTTTATGAAGTTATCAACAGCTTGATCATTGGTGCTTCAATGTTTGATCATGATTTCTTCATTCTTTATAGGCTTTCTAGTTGAGTGAAACATCACTCAAATATGTTTGGTCCTTGCATGCTGCACTGGGTTCTTTGCTATTGAAATTGCGAACATGTTATCTACCCATAAGACGGTGCCAATAGATTGCCTAAAACCTAACTCATTAAACATTTCTTGAGCCATAATGCATGATTAGTTGTTGAAGATGCAGCTATATATTCTGCCTCAGTAGAAAAATGAGCTACCACTTCCTATTTCTTTGAGTTATAGGAGAAGATTACACTTTCAAATGAGAAGCAATAGCTAGTGATACTCTTTCAGTCATCCACTTTACCGGCCCAATCACTGTCACAATGACCATGCAAATGATTACTATCTTGTTTCACAAACTTAAGCTCAAAAGTTGAGGTGCCTGTGATATACCTCAAGATTTTTTTGCAACTTTCAAGTGCAGCACTAATGGTTATTGCATAAATCAAGATAAAAGACTAGTTGCAAACATAATATTAGGTTTGGTAGTTGACAGGTATAGAAGGCATCCAATTATACTTCAATAGATTCAAGCATAATTTTTAATCTCACCATCGTCTTCACTGCGTCACCAACCCACAACTAGTGGAGTTGGAACTAGTTTGTAAGTGTTCATATAGAATTTTTTAAGCAATTCTTTAGCATGTTTATTCTGATGGAAGAAAATTTGATCTTCCATTTGCTGAAACTCTAAGCCTAGAAAGTAAGACACCTTTCTTAGGTCAATCATATCTAATTTAAACTTTATTAGAGCTTTGAATTCCTTTAAAATCTCATCATTAGGGACTGTTATCAACAAATCATCGACATGTAATGATACAATCAATTTCATGGCATTACTAAATTTCTTGACATAGAGTGTAGCTTCATTATTGTCGTGAATAAATCCTTTTTCTTACATATAACCGTCAATCATGTCATACCATGCTCTCGGGGCTTGCTTGAGTACATAGAGAGCTTTGACAAGCTCACACACCTTGTCTTCTTTTCCTTATACCACAAAACCTTCAAGCTATTCAACACAAATATCCTCTAATATAACCCTATTCAAGCAAGCTAATTTCATGTTAATGTGCCAAATGGACCAATTTTTGTTAACTACAATTGCTGTTAAGACTCAAATGGTGTCATATTGAGCCATCGATGCAAAGTTCTCTTTGAAGTCAATTCCTTGAACCTGTGAATATCCTTTTACCACTAATCTGGCCTTTAATTTGTTAATAAACCCATTTGGATTTAGCTTGGTTTTAAATATCCATTTGACACTAATTACCTTTTGCTCTTGGGGTTTGCCTACTAAGTACCAAGTCCCATTTGTTGCAATCATTTGCATTTCAACATCCATTGCTTCTTTCCATTTCTCATCTTTTAATGCTTCTGAAACTTTATTTGGTTCAATTACTGCCATATTGCATCTATTATAAATTTCTTGAAGTGGTCTTGTTTCTCGAGCAACCAAGCTTTCATCATTCTCATCCACACTATCCTCATCATCAAATAAATTCTTAGCACTAGCAATATTATTTGACTTTGAGTTCTCAACAATAGCAATTTCCCAATTCCATGTCAAACCTTCATTAAACCTCACATCTTGGCTTACAAAAACCTTATTAGTTTTCAAGTTATACAATTGATATCCTTTTGATAGATTGCTATAGCCCAAGCGAATCGCTAATCAAGACATAGGATCAAGTTTTGTTCTCTTTTCATCAAGAATTTTTGCGTTACAGATGCATCCAAAAACCTTGAGGTGCACTACAAATGATTTTGTGCCATGTCAAGCTTCATAGGGGCATTTAGTGTTCAAAGCTTTTGGTGGAAGAACATTAAGTAAATAAGTAGCAACATTAGTTGCCTCGGCCCAGAATTCCTTTGGAAAACCTTTCTTAAATAACAAACAGTGAGTCATCTCCGTTATTATCCTGATCTTATGCCCACAAACTCCATTTTATTGAGGGTTATAAGCCACCGTCAACTGATGTTTGATTCCTTTTAGAGAAAGAAAATCTTTAAACTCAGTTGAGTTGAATTCTCATTCATTGTTTGTCCTAAAATCATTAAATTGCTTATAAACTCATTTTCCACTATTGCAACAAACTTAGTAAACAAATTGAACACATCAAACTTGTGTTTCATGAAAAAAAATCCAATTGTACCTTGTATAATCATCAACAAAAATCAGATAATATGAACTTCCATTCAATGATAGAGTTTTCATAAGGCCTCCCATGTTTTAGTGCACTAATTGAAGCCTTTTTTTTTGCTTTCTAAGTGCTAGGTTTTGGAAACGAGGCTCAACTTTGCTTACCATATTGACAAGTGCTACAGATTCGATTCATTAAGTCAAACTAGGGAGTCCTTTAACCAAATTGGTGGATACCATATACGTTAGAGACCAATAATTTATATGCCCCAATCTACTGTGCCAAATTTCAGAATTAATGGATAAACATTGCTAAGCTTTATGCTTAACCATTATCCAATTTGTAGGGAAACACTTATTTCTCATTTCAACAGTGAAAAGTTCCTTACTCGAGGCATCAAGGATGGTGCAAGCATTGTTTTTAAACAACAAAACATATCCATCTTCGATTAATTACCTTACATTAAGTAGATTTTGAGCAACTTTAGAGCAAACATAACATTAGAAATTGATTTCATACCTACAAGTGTAAGGACCACAACTGTTCCTATCCCCTTGAATCTACAAGTTGAGCCCATTTCCAATCTCAACCTAAGATTTATAACTTTTTCCAGTGCAATAAAATTCTCATCTTTCTCGATCGTATGATTCGAACATGTGCCATTAATAAGCCATGTATGCTTCCTACTTGAAACTTCAGGTTTCCTTGTCATGAATAAAAATTAATCAATTGTCTCCTATTATTCAGCAACAGCAACCTTATCCTCAAGTCTCTCTCCACATGTTTTAATTGATAGCATGACCTGCATTTAACATTTGGATGATACCATAATATTTTTCAAGATGTGTTCATTTTTTTTTTAATGAGAACAAGGAGGGTACTTAGCTCTTGGCTTGCCTTGTTTTCCATCTTTAGATCTCCTGTCCTTGTCTTTCTTATTTGAGTCATTCTTTTTATATCTGTCACTTTATTTCACCTTTGTCCAAGCCATGAAAGCTCCTTCTGTTGTCTTATCTTGCTTTAGAGCTCATCTTTGTTCTTGTGCTTGGAGAGCATTGACTAGCTTTGTGACAATGAGGCATAAGATATCCTTGGACTCTTCAAGTGAGAATACCTTAACTTCAAACTTATCCAATAAACTTACCAAACCTTTGTTCACAATCCTTCTTTTAGAAAGGTCTTCCACAAAAAGCCTCAGTTGATTCACAACTTTCATACCTTATTAGAGCACTCTTAATTGTTTCATTATCTTTTATTTTTAAAACTTCAAATTCCCTCGATAGATTAAGTACTTGTGCCTATCAAGTCTTATCCCTCTCGTGAAATTCCCCTTACAACTTGTCCTAAGCCTCTTTAGGGTTCTCGTAAGTCATTTTTTTAGTAAATATAGAGTTAAATACAATAGCATGGATGCATAAGAGGGCCTTGAATCTCTTGGCAACATCTTCACTATATTGCTTCAATTGGGCTATTGTAAGATAGGCATTTCTTTGAACTAGAGAGTTTACACCCATTTCCACAACTTCCTAAAGGTCAAATGTAAAGAGGTGAGTTTCATCTTCAAAGCCTAAATTGGTGTAGTTCTCTTCGCTGAACACTGTTTGAGCTATGGATTGAAATTGGTTGAAGCCATAGATTTTCTTGCAAAGGTTTTCTATGGAAGATATGAGACAACAAGGTTAGGTATTAAAAAAATGATTTCATAAGTCCCTTAAGAACAAGTGAAATGCTCTAATACCATGTTCAAAAGATGAATTAAAAATGAAAGCACATTA